GAGAAAATTTGATGTTTTGCCGTGAGTATGTATTCGTTATCGTACTTGAAACACTCGCCATACTTTTTAATGCAACAAATCTGAATCTGTGTGTATTTAAAAAAAAAACCTCTGTCAAGCTTTAACTATAGACAAAACATTATATATTTTTTTAACGCAGAAACTCAGTTAATTTGTGAATGAGAACTAAGATCCCCCCCCCCCCCCCCCCACACACACATACACATGTAAGCACCCTTGTCTCTATTACTTTTTTCTCTCTGTGTATATATACGATATATTATGATATATCTTATTATTTCCAAGCATACCTGTAATTTTTATCCAGGTCGACTTCCGTCGATAATGTCCAATCCAGAAAGATTCTGATGAATTGTGCATTGCTTTTTTGATAAGTACGCTGTTGTTCATTCTGCATATTTCCTGCGCATCAAACCATGTGTATCTTTGGACTTGACACATCACATTTTCTGCATCAACAATATTTCAATTAATGAATGAAAATGCCTATCATTAAATGATGTAAAAAGCTATCAGATATTACTTTATTTTTCGACACTGAAATTATAATAATTCTTGAATATTTTATGATATAATCAACACAATGCCTTGTTGATGTTTATTCAGTCATTTATTTTAACAAAAGTTTTCTTTAAATGCCAACACATCAAATCGCTTGATAACTGTGTAAATATATTTGGTAGAAAACTCAGAATATAGCTAAATTTGATAATTATAAAAGTTAAAGTAAGTAATTTGAGTCGGTTTATGTTTATTTCCGTAAAACAGCGACCAGATGTGAAATATTTGAATAAATAAAAAAAATTAAATATCACCTCTATTGTACTGTAAAGCAAACCATATGACGAAAACGTATAAAGCACGCATGATATCTGCAAATCGGTAACCTGAAACATATACTAATGCAAACAACATCATTGATAATTTAATTTTAACAATTGTTCTGAATCCTGACTTTTAAGAAAGAAATCATTTTCCCTGTTACATGTACAATGTATTTAATTTATATTTAAAACATTTTGTCAGTGGACTTATCCTTTATAGTCCATATTTACGAGGACCGTTCAAAAATTACGCGGACTTGTTGCACAGAAGAAATATTTGACGACATAATCGGGAAAAATTTCACAAATAATATAAAAGAATCTTTACTTATATGGTCTTCAAAATTTCATATCAAAATGTTGTAAATTGGTATTAATTTTGAGTGATTTTTCAGGACATACCATTAAGTCACGGCGCAGCAAAATCTTCGACGTCACAAGCATTATAAAAATATGTGATTGAGCTTTCATTTTCTCAACATTTTCCCTTGAGTACCCGTATAGTTTGAGTTACCTTATCTACTCAACACCAAACACCATTTCTTGTCAAGCTTAAAATCTATTAAACAAGTAAAGAATATTCTTTTTTTTGTTTTAAAACCAAAAACTACTTATGAGATATAGTGTGATATTTGTGACTCTCAATCACGTTGTTTACAGTCCGGATAAAGTTAACTTTTCATCTATAATCTTCTTCCCGTCCTCCCGTATAGCCTTTTTACAGAGGTCTTACTGTCTAAAATTTCAATTTGCTTTTTTGGGGCGAATGTCACGAGTAGCCTACTTTACTTCATGTTTTATTATGCATATTTTGGATCTATGTTGCCGATATCTCGAGCATTACACATATTTTAACAAAAGTGTGGTGCGCCGTCAATTCAGGAGACGTCATTTTCACAGTCGTTTTAACGGGAATCGCATCAGAGAAAAAACACAAAATTTATGTTAGTACTTAAAATATTACGTCCGAAATCTAAATACATAATAATAGAACAATTTAAAGGTACATTTCAGAAAATTGTTGAAAAATATCGAGAATTTTAGAAAATCTATGAGTTAATTTTTTGAATCCGCATGCTTTTGCTTCATTTTTTTTGTCGTGCGCCGTACCTCTCCATCAACGATATCAACATATCGATAATTTTAGTAGAATTTTTTTAAAATACAGAAATTCTGCCCAAAATTTATTGGAATCTTTAAGATACATATTTTTGTGAAATTTTATAACTATATGACGTCTGTAAGAGTAAATAATTGCACAGTCCGCGTAATTTTTGAACGGCCCTCGTAATATAGAAATTCCCTTACTTGTTGTCCTTCAAACTGAACTTATCAGCATGTTGGAACAGAATTTATGCAACAATATATACTGTGTTAATGGGTATCTAAGGAATCCTACATGTACATGTAAGTATCTGCATGTATGTGTTTGTAGCCCATTTTATTTACTATTGTTTTTTGAAATAACTCTCCATATATATCTGCAATGTAAACATATGAAAACATTGATAAATTGATAAAAAGAACCTGAAGTATGCATGTCGATTTAGATAGGTTAGACTGTAGGGAGAACGCAGATGTCATAATATGTTTGACAGTGGAATAACGAACTCGATTATAAAGGAGATAATACATGTACAGTTTAAATTCTTATATCTTCAAAAATTATTTATAAAATTCCCTTATGGTTACAAGCCCAATTACAGTAACAACCCAAGTCCAAGAACCATGACGAACTATGACTGAATTACCGGTAAGAACAGGACTAAGTTTTTGAATTCATGGCTAATCTTTTTGACTCTTTGTCATAAAATATGTTTAAATTAATTCAAATTCATGACATTGTTATTAGATCCCTAAAATAGATTTGCTTGATAGTATCATTCAAGCTCTAAGTTTCTTGAAACTATTAACACAGAAATCTGTATACTAGATAGATTTCAATTTCAATGTATACAACGTTTGAAAGTAACGCAAGTTGCATTTTATTTTAATATGAATGGTTTTTTAGGGATAGTCTTACATATCAGCATTGATCTATGTAGGTATGAACATGCTCATTTAAAGAAAAACATTCATATCATGCAATTGATCTGTATTTAGTCGAAGAATATGACCAAAAAAGCTGAATCAATCCATCAATTGTTTTCCTTTTATTTCTCGTTTTATAAGAAGGTAAATTTACTTACAGTTTTCCTTTTCTCTTACAGAGATACGATTTTCTATTTGGGTATAATCATATCCTTCCTTTTAAAAAAGATGAAAATAACATCCTTGTTGTTGTTCAATATGTAAAGGCATGTGTTTCACGCAGGAATGAATTTGTGAGCCGGAAGTTCTTAATGCATGTAAATAAAAGAGATACACAAGGACGAATTACTGAATGCATGTTTAAAAGATATCATTAATTTACCCGTGTGCTTTTAAACTATTTTTTTTTATAAATTTCGTTTTGTTTTTTAGTCGTGGCTTATTAAAAGTAACTAGATTAAGTTTAATATATATGTATATCAAAATCCAGGTTTGTTAATATCTCCGCACAGTGTATGAGCTGGGCCATGCATTGATCAGTATCGGTACCATCCTGAGTGAATTATTTTCACAGTCATTTAACTGCCTATAGAAATAGTTTCCTCTCTCGGGGAATCAATAAAAAATTGCAAATTCCCTCAAACTAAACCCAAAACTGTATACGATTAGTAACGCGTTTTCGCGTTTTGAAAAGCGATTTAGAGAATAATTGTATGTTTTCTTCTTAAATGACTTTTAACGTGGGAGGTATGTAATGGTCTGTCAGGTTTTATCACCAGAAGTCAGATAATTTATTCTATGAAGCATTTTTCTTTTGTTAAGGTGGTTGTTTTCAATACTTATTCCAATTACACTTATAAAAATTATAATATTTGAACAATAAATATTATTTTGTCTATATTTGAAAGATTGTTTGTAAGAATAAATCAACCTAAGAAAAATGGAATGATTCGTTTCGTATCTATGCGCTAAAAAGGTTTTATATCTATAAAATTTCACAGCACTGAATGCTTTGAAAATGTCATGACGATCATCCCTTTTTAAGAAAGTATACTGATCTGTGTAATAATAACTAATATGGTTTTCTTTTGTTATATTTTAAAATAAAAATCAAACCCTGGTTCTTTTCACTCCTTCGCTTTTTCATAACTCTTTGATTCAATGTCTAGAAAATGTAATATTACCTGCAAAATATATTCTGTTAATCCACATATTTTAATAATGTAAGCTACTACCATTCTTTATATACAAAAATATATTAAATAAACAGTATGCATTCTCTCATGTGCTCATATGTTATTAAGCATTAATAGAAATAAAACGCATATATTATTAAAAACCATTTAAATAAATAGTTTCAAATGGACTGATGATCATTACAATTAAATAAATAGAGACAACGAACAGTATTCAAACTTAATACAGGAGCAGAGCAAACACAGACCTTTAAAACACTAGAGGTGTGATTAGGTGCCATGGAGGATTGAGCATCCCCTGCTAAAGGTCACTCCCACCATATGCTCCTTGTCGTGATTGAAAGTAATAGAACTATATCCATCGACATTTTAGTACGCAAATAATGGCCTTACAAATATGTACATGTATGTAAAACGTCAGTCAGCATTTGATTAAAGACCAAAATGTATTAAATGACGTTAGACTTACTTTTTACTGCTACATGTACATCCATTATGACCCCATAAGCCATTTCAATTTTCTTTCTTTCCCATACTTTACGGCTCTAGAATTATGTAGAAATTAACGTAGTTTAATGGAATTCAATTTAAAATCATATGAAAAGTGATCCAAATATCTATACTAAATCTGACATAATTTTAAAGAAAAGGCCAAGAACATACAAGCTACCGTTTTCTGAAAGATATAAGACAATCTGTATACATTTTCTTTATCTAATATGGAAATAACTTCCATATTCATTACTTGTTTTCCTAAATTTTTATTGGAAATGACAGTTTGAAATATGATTCTTATTCATCTTCTTTACCTTCAAATTATGTCCCGAAACATCTTATTTAAACAACTTAGTTCAAGTTATAAAGCATCAATAAAGAAATGTATTTCTTAAATATGATATATATGTTAGTAGCTTTCATTAACTAGATCTTGACCTTAATAGTAAATTATATTCGCTGACAAGGTCAGTGGATCGACCTAGAGCTTATAATGATGTGTGGTAGGATTGGATTTTACAGAGTTAGTAAATAACGATTATTCTTATTTTTAACGATTGTTTATTGAACATTCGGAAACTTTTTAGCTTTATAAGATAATTTAGGAAACGTCCTTGTATTGGTTATACGTAGAATGCAGATTTTGATTGGATAAGAGAGACACATCTTCAAACCGCGGTGAATTTCTTCAAGTCCAGCATTTCACAATTAGATAAGGTGGCTTAGAACCTTCTCAAAGGCTTGTGCCAGCTCACCTTTTGTTAATCGGGGTGGAGCCCGGTCTCTGTCTCTCTTTCGTTCAATATGGTTAATTGTCTCGTTCACTCGTTTATCCGCCCTTTTGTTTTCCTTATTTATACGCCCATTTAATTGTTGATTTCCCGTTCCTTATTTCTATTTTTGGTAAACCGGTTAGGGTAGGCATAGTAATTTTTTTCTTGCAGGGGTGGGTCACTTTCCTTTGGACTTAGCATTGGGTAGGACGGGCTCTGGACTTCATACATCTGCAAGGTAGGCACTTAATTTTATTAAGGCTCATAAGTAATAAGGTCGTTAGTACATCAGTTTTCCTTGTAAATATATAAATGTAAATATTTTTGTGCTGTTAATAAAATACAATAATTGTTGCCTAATAAATACTTGGTAATTTGCAAATTCTAGTTATTAAAATTCTTGGGTTAGAAAGTCACTTTCGTTACTATTTGAGGTACAAAAGGTTTATTGGTTAATAAGAAGTTGGTATAAAACGTGAAGTACTGTTATTGATAAAAAAAAAAGTGTGTGATATATCTAAGAGGTATTTTCATACGGTCTTATCGTTACACTGGTATCGTTTAATTTCCTGAATTGCATTGATACCATGTAGCGAATTCAGGTTACATTGTTGCCGTGAGTGGTACCTAGGTTTGACGGTAAAACCAAATCCTGTCACAGATGACTATAAACGAGACTGCAGATCTTCTTTCAGCAGGTTGTTTGTCATTTAGTAACTTACCTCGTTTTAAAAATTGTTCATACGTAAAGCCTGCTCTTGTGTGTCGAATCATCTGAGCGATATAAACCCCGTATGCAGGTGACGAAGGTACATGTATATCGCTGCATACGTTAGGGAATTTGACTGTTGAAAAATACTGTTTGTCATAAAGCTTGGTTGTTAGATCACCATTAACGTCTTTATTCAAGTAAAATATATTAATATGAAACATATGTGTCAGAACCTGTGGTATTTTTTTATTTCAAACTCACCTCAAAATATATAGAACCGATATAGATATAAATATTTCATCTTCGAGTTTGTCTCTCAGTTTCACATTTTGCAATTGAGAAAATGATCTTTATTTTTGCATACATTGATTAAAACGAAATATTTATAACTTCCATTCTGGAGTATCAACAACTTCAGAATTCTGAAATAAAAAAAAATTAAATGCAGATATCGATGACAAGCACCACAGGACAATTTCAAGATTGTTACTTAAAATTTGGAAAGTCGGATGTTCGATGGACTTTCTATGGATACCGAGTACCTATAGATGACTGCTACATGTAGGTGATGTATTATAGTCAAAAGCTTTTTATTATTGTTTATTTTAACTAGGAAACTACTTCAGTTGCAACTACAAGGTCCACGATAGGTAGTCATCAACATCATACATCACTCTGCACAGGACCAATGCACAATGCACGTCGGAAAATCCTTTTTCAGCGAGAAAGTAATTTCAGTGTTTTATCATTAGTCTAAGAAAATTGCCAATCCCACGGTACTGGAAAGAAAGATATTTAAGACATCCTATTAATGGAATAGGCAAGTAAAATTTACAAATACGAATAACATAGTGCATTTAAAATTTGCCCAGTTTATGTGATGCTTTCTATAAAGAATAAAACACACTTTAATTAATAAATGAATTTACTTTGAATTAGTAAAATCCATACGTATATTAGTCTGAAATCACCCTGATAAACGTAATTCTAGAATTGAAAATTAAAATTGACATTTAAATGATACCTAACTTTAAGATATCTTCGAATATGCCTGCTTTAATTTTTTGAGAGAAAAAAATCCCCTTATGAGATATTGCTATTGATCTTTTGAATTATCAATCAACGAGAGAAATTTATTATTATTTATAAATCAAATATGGAGGATTATTATGTTTATTTCTTTCTTAAATTCTACAAAAATTTCCAATTTCTTTTTCATGACATGTGCTTAAATGCTCATATGTAAATCTTAATTAGCTTTTATCACAATCGCATGTATTGCACAAAAGAGTAAAAGTCAAATGCAAATCTCTAAGAAAAGTACATGTGATGCTTTGTCAAAAGTTAATGCCCTGACGTCAAATGACGTAGGTTAATTCTTAACGAAAAAAAACAACACTTATTCGTATCTTCTTAATGTGACTTTATATGAAGTCTGGAGTAAGTGTCCCCCATCTCCTCGACTTGTCCACCATGCTGTCCATAATCTGAGAAAGACCCGGCATGATCATAAGTAGTTTCATCTTGAGATTTATTTTGTGATACACCACTAGTACTAATATCATACACCCCGTCCTCTGATTCGGCAGCAAAATTGCTGTGATCATAGACATCGTCTTTATTGTTTTGTTTAGTTTCCTTATCCCTGAGATGATCATAGATGCCATCAAAGGTTTTCCTATATGGTTTTTCTAAATTTTGCTCAGAATTTTCTTCTTTGCTAAAATTGTTTGATGAAAGTCTCTGTTCAGAACAATTTTCGACCATTGCATGAGCGCCATTCACATTAACATAGCAATTTTCATTGATGTTTAGTTTTTCAATATTGTTCTCTCTATCTTCATTTCTATCTTCATTTCCTGTTTTCTTCTTGCTGTTAAATAGATAAAACGGAGAGAAAAAAATGAAGTCAGAATTATTCTATTTTAAAAAATTGCGTCTAAAAGCAGAAGATAAAACGAGATGCAAAGCAAATAACGGTGAGATATACCTACCGGATAAATCTGGTGATGAAAATTATCAAACAGCCATCAAAAATAAAGAATACCAACAAGGACACGATTATAGCAATTATAGTAATCAGGTTTCCTGAATCTGAAAAAAAAGCATTCATAGAACAGTTCCAAACTAAGCGCTTTTGAATTGTGACGGTATAAATGAACTTTATGGAGATAAATAATTAAAAAATACACCGTATATATTATCCGTTTGCATAGTTAATGTCCTGTTTTGTTCATTAAACACATACATATGCTGTTGCTTAATTTCAAAGTGAATAAAAGTGAAGTTATTTACTGATAATAAAGTCACTCCTCAAATCATTTTGACACTGCCTTAGTCCATGTCATGACAAAATAAATATTAATAGGATCAACACCTCTTAAAAAATGAGCACAAGAAATATTTTTATCTTTTAAACTATACAAAGAATATTTTTGTATTTAAAAATGATGACACCCGGATAAATTGCCCTCTAGGTCGGTATGATGTTTCTAAATAGACAAACGTGAAACATGCACGTTACTTTCTGAGAGGCTAATAAGGACTTCAGCTAATCATGCCATTGATTGGAATAATTTCAGAGAAATAATTCTCTGTTATTCTACCTAATTCCAAAAGCCTCTTGATAAGATATTTATAAAACATTTGATTGAAAAAGTTGTAGGAACTTTCGATCGTAAAAGTTTTTTTCTTAATTACAGAGTGATTTTTGTTTAGAATTAAGATGCAAACGAACGTTTTCAAAGATATGTTTTGTATGTCTTCATATTATATCACAAGTATTCATTTTATAAGTGATGGTATGAAGTGCAAGTGTATATACCTGTAGGAATGGTGAGATCGGAAATTCCATTTGTAGCATAATCAACAGTGATGGTTTCAACTAATGAGGTCTGTAAGAAACAGTAATATCAGAATATACTCATATAAGTCTCAAGAAGTCTAATCCAGAATAAACGTGTCAGCAAATCTGATCCAAAAATATACGTTTAAAGACATCTTGTACAGTTAGACTTCTATTGCATTCTTTAAGACCCACCCTAAAGTAAAGCCACGGTGTCCTTTATTGCTATCGTCATGTTAAACATAGGATCAAAACTTTGGTTAGAGGCACTAAAAATCATGCACAATTCTGGTAAATATATCATTGGGATACATGTCTCTTTACAAAGACACATAATTACCAATAATAGAGAGGTTTAGTTACACGTTTTACGTCAAACTTGTACGCGTGACGTCATCCATTGTTGTGTTTTTCGACATCATGACGTCAAATCCGACGTGTAGCTACAAGTTTAGAACGTGTAATACACCGTCTACACGTACGGCATAAACGAGTAAAGTTAAAGATTAAATTCTTTATTTCTTAATTCAGTTGACTGATTTTTATGCAGTGAAAATAGAAGGCTTATCTAAAATTTTCTAATGAATGATGATTCGATGATTCCATCAAATTATTAGCATTTTTATGAATGAAAACTAATACCAATTAAGCAGCTTGTTTATTTTGCATGCAGAATTCATTTGAAGAAGACTCCGCCAATGCACCAAATAAAAATTCTTGGCGGTATTTTTTTCCTTTAATATTAATTTTTATTAAAACTTATTTTAACACCTCAATATTCTTTAATTATTTTTTTTTCAAATAAAATATTTTCTATAAAATAACACAACAGACACTAGTGACATAACAAAAACTATAACCCCTAACCTAATAAGTTATAGGTAGTACATTTATGTGTATTTTCAAGTGCTTGTGGAGATTTTATTTCATTAATATTTTTTTTCCTTTTGCACGTGCAAAGATCTATAGCAAAAGCGAATCAAAAAAAGGGGGGAATGACTAGTATTTTGGTTTTAACAATGTATTGATGTATTTAAAAATATTATTTTTGCCTCCTTTCTAGACAATTTAATATTTGAACCCTTAAATTTTATCGTTTTCAAAACGTTTTCTGTTGGGATCTCCCTACTTCACAAGTGCAAAATGTTGTCTTTTTTGTCGTCAATGCAGTATCTTTATAACTGCTTCCATTTTTGAATTGATGCAGAATTAAAAGCCTAACTGTCCTGTAGAGGTACTATTAAAGAGAATATTAAAGCGCTCCTCTGCAGGGAGATGACAATAAGTATAATGATTTTTCATTGTTTATGATATCTGTGACTAGAATTAGTTTGAATTCCAATTCTCCTTTGATTTGTTTAAATTAGAAAAAAAAATAAACACAGTGCAGTTCAATTAATTTATTTTATTTCATTTTTTTTACTCTTCAATCACGAAATTTGCATACGAACAGTGCGTATAACCTAATCAAATTATTAACGTTGAAGTCAAATATACCGTGTACGTCAAAGTTTCGCGTACACGTTGTTACGTAACTAAACCTCTGTAATATGTTGTATATTAAAGGCCGGATCTGACCTAGATAAATATCCACACGGACAGCAATTAAGCATATTAGGGAGCTGGCCACACCTCGCATCTGATAAGACTGCAGAGTTATGCTATTAATAGATAGCAGCTTGCCACTTACACGTGCTTAAAATAAGACAACAAAGATTGTGCAAATACATAGATATTTTAATTATTTCTACGTTTAGAAAAAACATGTTTTATATAACGCCACCAAATGTTTTTCCTGAACTGAAATTTTTGTTTTTTATAGTTCTTTTTTCCAAGTTGCTTACGTGGGGTTTTAGGATTACGTGTGTAAGTGATAGAAGTAATGTCTCTACCCACATTTTCATTCCAGTGACACGTACCAAGGAATGCTCGCACTTTATACTGTTCACTACCATAAGCAATTCTTTTATCCTCATATATATTTAAAGTGTTATTAAAACTCTCAACAAAATAAGTATCACGTCCTAATCGAAAATCATCCGGATTTTTATAGATCACTGAATTGATTATAACACCTTTTAATAGTTTTTCTGCAACAGGGTTTTGAATCACCACTCGGGAAGATTCGTAGTTTGGATCCACTTTACATCTTGAGGAAGAATGACATCTTTCATGGTTGTTTTTGTAGTGATCTAAGATGTTGTCCAACATTTCTCTGAGCGTACCTGAGTCTCCACCACAGTGTTTGATGGCCCAGTAGAAATGTGTAGAAACGGCATCCGGTTTGTCGTAAAGCTCCTCGGACCACGTTTTACCTTCTCTGTACCGTGGTCCACTTGAAATGGTGGACATGGCCTTCTTAATATTTTTTATGCCATGCCAAATGTCGTTTTGGTTGCAGGTAAATCCATTTTCACGTTCTCTGACTAGTCAAACTTCTCTGTGTGCGGAGACGCAGAGGACTATGGGTAGTATGCCTGACTAGTTTGTTAATTGACATATTTCTGTCATGCGTGTGGACGTTGACAGAAACTTGTTTGCTGTCAAGATCCTCGTAAATTTTTTCAGTTCCAATTTTTTCATGTCTCTGGGTAACTGGATCATCAGTGGTCGCAACATGCACACAGTTGAGAACTTTATGCGTTTTTTCTCCTATTGCCACCACACTGGTGTCCTGGGCATTTTTCCGCCACCCATGCCGTGCGTCAGTAATGATGTCAATTCCGTCTAAATTGTCATATAGTCCCACTTCCTCTAGTAAAGCGGTGTGAATAGAGTCTTCGTACTCTTGCTGGACAAATGTCTTGTACATTTTAAAAAACGAATTCCGTTTTTCTACAGAAAGAACACCGATTCCTGCTTCTCTGCAAAATCTAGAATAACAGGATGGCAGCATACCACTACACAAGAAAGCATGATTAATTCTTTCATTGATAAGATACTTTCCGTTCGGAAGGTATGGTGAAGATGCCCAAATATACCTGTGTTTAGGACGATCGGTTCTCGAACAACACAGTTTCAAAGAAGTGACGTGTCCCCGTTTTGCTGCCTTTTTTACCTCCAATTTTCCTCCACAGTGTTTCCCATGTACAGCAGCTACATCCATGAGTTTTTTCACAGAAGGCAGCGATGTCACAAAGAAGTCCTGGTTCACCTGACTTTTCTTAACATTAATATAAGTTCCAGGTGTTTTGGGATGATCGTCGTTGGCTACTGACTTCTTCCAGGTAGACAGCAAATTTTCAATGATGTCGGCATTGTTGACAGGTCTACCCAGTTGTTTGACTAACATTTCCCTGACTTCCTGAAGACTTTGCATAATATTAATTTTCTTGTCTTCATTAGCTGGTATTTCTAACTTAAAAGTTGGAGGACGCTTTCGTTTGTTTTCAGCCATGATATAGTTTCCCAGTAATAATAAAGCTTAGTTAATGACGCTTATTCTTTGAATTACTCCTGCTTGTATGTTAATATATAATATATATATATTATCTATACTAAAGGGGGTCATATTTCAGTGGACTGTACCATTTTTTAACAAGTTGTTATCTAATAAAGAAAACATTGACAATTTTGTGAATAATAATTAACGCTTTTAAAATTTATTAGCACTTTACTAATTTAAAAAAAAAGATTTTATAAATTTTGTGGGAATAGTTTTATTTACATTAATGACAGAATAATAACAATGTGGTTGCCCCCACTACCCCTGTTTAGGTTTCAGATGGAATTGACCAACTTCCACAGACACATGGAGGGACCTCCCGCCAAATGTCAATAAATCAGCCTAGCTGTGATACAGAGCAGCATAAGAAGGCTCAGTGGGGAACATCCATAAAACATATGCATGAGAGAAATACAAGCAGTATCCCAAATATATACATATGTATAATTTATTGAATTCGTCATCTACTTTTATTATTTCCAGTTTTATCAATAAATAAGGAATTATATTTAATTATAGTAAATTAAATGAAATCCTGAGTCCCCTAATAGACCTCTCCCTTGCAAAACTTCCCTCCAAAACAAAACGCGGTCTCAATTTAGCAAAATGGAGGAACAAGAAGAGAAAAGTGTTATTTCATTGAGAGTAAATTCAGAACAAAGGGAAGCCATTATACAATTCTTTAATTTTAATAACTGGGATTTAGATGAGATGAATGGAGAAACTGATAACAATGAGGATGATGGCGTGAACTTTGAAAGGACATACAACATCCCGCAAAATGAAGACTGTGAAGAATGTCAAAATTGTTTATGTAAACCATGCATAACTCATGAACGAAATATACAAATGTGGTGGGCATCGGAACCTGTGCCACCAAACACACGGAACAGTTCCCTTAGAAAAGAAAGGTATAAATTCTTTTGGACTATGCTTTTCCATAGAGGTGTGTTTTTGGATGAGAGATATATAGCTAGGAAAAGATCTGCTTTACTCAACGATCCAAGATTACGAAACACTGTGTGCCATCGTCGAGATATTTTACCCAAATGTGTATTAGAACTTGTAAGGTATTGGTTTCCTAATCCAAAAAATAAGCCATACATGGGGCATCGTTGGAACTAAAAGAAAAAAATGTCCAAGATTTCTTTTTTAATAGTGTGACTAATAATTGTGATATTTTCTTTTATTTTGTTTTCCATTTTTTTTTTTTGATTGTTTACTGGGTCTAACCTTCTGGCAGCTACAGACACGTGTTCACGCTGATAATCCTTGTTATCTCGCCGATGTGATGCTTCACTAAGTGACTGAAACAGCATGACTGACCCAAAGTGATAATTGTTTACACTCTCTATGATCTAATCACGGGCTTTGATTCTAATTTATTACTCGAGGAAAGGATAATAAAACGTATTGAGGATTATTTTCGGAGTATCTTTGTCTTTCTTTTGAGGTAAGAATATGGCGGCCATTTTAGCATGCGTCAATAGCGACGAGCATTTCCGGTGTAAATGTAAACATTCAGCAGCTGTCCATCAAACTCCAAAGAAATTTGAAATTTCGATCGCCTTAGAATCTTAAATGAATATTATAGACTGTATTAATTTTTTTACACTGTATTTTAATCACCCAAACACATCTGATAACTTAGTTAGATGACTCAACAACTTTCGGAAGGTGTATATTGACGGTATAGATATAATTTTAAAAAAATCTCCTGCGAAGTGAAGAGTGGCAAGAAAGTTGAAATTTCCTCCATTTTTCTCATTGGCTGCTATTTATACCCCAGACCAGCACTTTAACTGCAACTGAATTGCACCTTTTTAGCGTGAAAGAATGATTACAGGGATTTTTTTTTTGCTCTCCTTAGATTTATGCTTCTTCTTTTTTCAATCGAGCAATCAGACAAACCCAATGTACAAATTAAAAGGATAATCTAAAATGGTATCATTTTATGAATAAAACACTTCTTGAGTGATTATACAATATAGATTTAAAACCGAACTACGAAAGGAAAGGAAGCATTTTATAAGTTGCATTTAATAAATCTAAATTATAATGCACTGTAGAATACGTCTGCAACTCAAAATATCCATAGGTTACCTTTTGTGAAACTCAAAAAGAAAGAAATATACAATGTGAATTAAAATTTATGATCTACTAGTCTGAAATCAATATTTTGCAAGGGGCGGGGGGAGGGGGCATTGATTTCGAGGTATAAAGAGATGCATGAGTTTATGTCCGTCCAACTTAAACTTAATTTTTCACATATGTATTACTACTGAGCAATTCTCCATCCATGAAATTTATTCCCCAAGAAACAGATACTCATTCCACAAAATATGAAAATTGACCCTAGCTATGAAAATATGTGATTTTACAGTATCAAACATATGAACAATAAACATTTACCTTTTGGCAGAGAACATAACTCAGTTTGTTGAAACAATCGACAAATACACAACCAGTGTGGTTACATTTCTGACATTGCAGGAAGGTCCGTCTGTGTTCGGCGTCAAGAACAACACCTGGACAATATTAGTTATCCAGGTTCAAATCAAGGGTGTACGGGGATTTACCCCGGGTTTTATTCCATACACCCTGAGGCCGCAGGCCGACGGGTGTATGGAATACAACCCGGGGTAAATCCCCGTACACCCTTGATTGGACCTGGATAACGAATTTATTTCTTTGTATCCATAAAAGTGCTTTGTAAACATCAAAGTGTGTCTCAATCTATCGATAAGAAAACTACTTACTACAATGCATCGTGACGTCATGTTATTTGGCTTTTATCATAGAGAATGTGTGCATTGTGACGTCGCGTTTTATTTACACCCGGCTCAAGTCGGGTGCAAGGATATTTACACCCGACTTTGTAACCAATCAAAGCTCGTGTTACAAGCTAGATAGGGAATAATTAATTCTAAGGAGAATTAATTACATGTATTAGTAAGGAGTTCAACTAATAAATGTATATATTCAGACTGCAGAACACAGAAGTGGTAATTGAATAACCAGATAGAATATATCAAATAAAATATAATGAATTGATCATTAATTTTAAAAATATTATGTCAGAAAGCGTAATAAATTGGGGTCAGTAAAAACTACGTTCTATGATTTTAAGTGTAATTGAGCTCTCTATTACAAACATATTTGTTTCTCATGTCTTTGTTCGAGATAAAATTACAAATAGTTAATATACTTTATTTTTACAAATACATGCATTAATTTGTTCATCAATAGTCGCAGTTAAAAAAAATCATGTGCGGGGCGGGACAAAAAGTGCAGGAAGCGGGGCTTGTACGACGTGGTTTGGTGGAATCAAGAGCATGTATATTTAAGGAATCACTGTTTAGTTGGTATAGTATGCCAGGGCATCAATGATAGTGAAAAAATGGGACAATTTGCATAACGGATGAAGTCCGTTATGCATAAATTATCCCATGTTTCCCACTATCATTGATGTCCCTGGTATACAATACTAACTAGCCAGTGATTCCTTATATTTCAATTTCAATGTGAAATAAAACTATAGATTTAGATTTTTTTAAAAAATGGATATAGATTTAAATTACACGAGAACTCCCATGCCAATTTCAATAGATCTCGCCAACTGACGTCAAACAAAAAGGCAGCCTCGCGAAATTCACATGCATATTTGGCCTCTTTAGCGTCAGACACAAAGACAGATGCGCACGAGATTTGCATGCATATTAGACCTCCTTAGCTCCAGACCTATCGACCTGTCTAATTTTCATTCCGGTTGAATTATCAAGAAATCAACTCTGCTAACTTTCAAAGTTAAGAGTTATCAAAGAAAAAATAGAAATGAAAATAAATACGGAATAACCGTCAGATTTTTTGATTTCATGACGATGAGCAATCGACTTGCGTGCGTAATAATTTTATGAAGCGTTTATTCAAATTATCACACAAGCCACTCGATTGATCACATCATGAAATTAAAAAAATAAGAATAAACAGTTATTAAATTAGACAGTTTTTATAATATATACATTGTGATTAAGAATGACCTTAAAAAGAAATCTTTCAGGTAAGGATAATTACCATAAAACGTTACAGTTTTTTTACACAATATTTGAAATACATTATCTCTAATTCATTGACGGAATTAAAAATAAAGTTCAACCTTTGCATGAAATATTACCTATGTTTTTTGTCTCAATTTAATTCTTAAAAACTGATCGAAAAATCAATAATGACTTATGTTTATTTTTTCTGATCTTCAAAGTAGGGTGAATTCACCATGCATCGGACGCCGTTGTAATTCAACAAGTTATAGCGATATCGATACCGACGGAACATTATCAAAATGGAACTTAACATTTAGTCTGTGAATAAAATATAAATTTGGGACACCTATATTTGCTTTTATTTGAGAAAATATCATTAAAAACCTATTTTTAAAAAATGACTCGGAATTCACCATGGATCGGACATCATTTACCATGCATCGTACAAATCTTATTTGAACCGGGAAAATGTCGTACCTTGATCACAGTGCTTTATAATTATTGATATGAATATACTTGTATTTTTTATTTAAAAATTAAACGTTCGCTTACATTTAATTGACGATATCATTTTACAAATATGGAAAGATGCAATATGCCTTACTTTGCCTTAGAAAGGCTTTAAACATGTTAAAATGCTTGTAATGCGGTAATTCGCGCTATTTCCTCACAAGTTAAAATACTCTGGTTTGTAGAAATGAATTAAATCAAATTCTAGACGTTATATATCACTAATGTGTATTTTGACTGAAAATGTAGAGTTTTTATTTTCTATTTCCTCAAAAAACAGCTGTTAGTTGGGTTCTGTATGAAAATGGTAGTCATTACCTATGAATCGGAAAGTGTCCGATGCATAGTTAATTTGTGTCCGATGTACGGTGAAATGAGCATACTAGTAAAAACAAGCTCTAATTAGAATTAAATAAACATTAAAATGAAATTTCTTTATAATTTATGCAAAATTACCAATCATTGACAAAATTCACCAAAGTCCGACTCGTTCCGTCGAAGTCGAATATAAAGAACGATAACTCTAAAAATTGCAAAATCATAAATTTCTGGTTACCTCCCTTTGGTGATGTAAAATATGACGTAACTTCAATGCCATTCTCGGGGTATTTTTATCACAGCATGATAATAACAATTGGCATTATCCAAAAATTTAAATCTTCAGCTTCAAGACAGAAACAAATAAATACATGGAACTCATAAGTTGAAAGAGAGTTTATTGCCTAAAGTTGTCCGAAGCAAGGTATGTGTCCGATGAATGGTTAACTCACCCTATGTGTTTTAAAAAGGCTTTTATTAATCAAAGACTGCCATATACACTGTATCCACAAATATTTGAACGTGTGTGTAACATGCATATCTTTAACTACTTTCATCCCATTGTACTCAACGGGTCTGTATCTGTAATAAAGTGTTATTAGCTATATGTGTCCTATTTTATGGAAAAAATTTGCCCAAATTTTGGTAGGAACTTTTATAAATCAGTTTCGTACTTTTTGGATAAAGCAATGTTATCTCTGTGCTTAAATGTTAAATTGATAATTAACCTCGCGTAGTAGATTTAAATAAACACAACCGTTTACCTGTATCATATCCAATATAAACTTCCTTTGCAATGCCAAGCCATGATGAACCATCCCTTGTTCTAAACAACGCTCGGCATGCAAGGGAGGCGTTGATTAATGATATATTTCCATATAAGTAAGTAGGCAGAGACCATGTTTTGCACCAATTCATTGATTCTTTCCAGTTTTGTTTTGCATATTTATCTGTAAAAAAAAAAAAAAGGAAACATCAATTTTCATGAAATCTCATTAAATATTTTAATATTACTGTAAATGAACTTTTAAGACATTTTCACTTGAGTCTTAATTGGATAAAAATAATGTTTCAAAATTAGGGGAAAAAAAATTTAGCCTTTGTCATGAACAGAAATAATGATCCATTTTACGTCAAGTGGTTTTTTTATTGAATTCAGTTGAGCTTGCAAAACTAACTGGCTCAGTTCTACATTACTTTTTAGCTCTACTGGTCAGAGACCAGAAGAGCTTATGCGATAGTAAGGTGTCCGTCGTCCGTCTGTCTGTCTGTCTGTTCGTCTGTCTGTAAACAGTTTTTCAAAACGCTACTCCTTCTACAGTTTTGGTCTGATTTCATTATAACTTGGCACACAAGTAGACTACACTAAGATACACAAAGTAGTGCATCGGATTTTGATTTCGATGAACGGTGTTGCCATGGTTACTAAAAATAGAATTTTCTGTGAAATTCCTTTAAAACGCTACTCCTTCTACAGTTTTGGACTGATTTCATTATTACTTGGCACACAAGTAGACTACACTAAGATACATAAAATAGTGCATCGGTTTTTGATTTCGATGAACGGTGTTGCCATGGTTACTAAAAATAAAATTTTCGGTGAAATTCCTTTAAAACGCTGCTCATTCTAGAGTTTTGGTCTGATTTCAATATAACTTGGCACACAAGTAGACTACACTTAGATACATAAAATAGTGCATCGGATTTTGATTTCGATGAACGGTGTTGCCATGGTTACTAAAAATTGAAATGTCTGTGAATTCCTTTAAAACGCTACTCCTTCTAGAGTTTTGGTCTGATTTCAATATAACTTGGCACACAAGTAGACTACACTAAGATACATTAAATAGTGCATCGGATTGTGATTTCGATGAATGGTGTTGCCTTGGTTACTAAACATAGAAATGTCTTTGAAATCCTTTAAAACGCTACTCCTTCTGCAGTTTTGTTCTGATTTCAGTATAACTTGGCACACAAGTAGATTACACTAATACCCCATTCATACGACGAAAATTTGCTTATGTGTGCAAATTTACATATGAGTAAATATACACACGTAAGTAAAAGTTAATTTGCTATGCGTTCAGACGAGATTTGTGTACTGTAAGTAAATCCTTGTATTTTCATATAAAATAAGGAGATCCATAGATTCAGAATTGTGGATTTTTATAGAGAAAGGTTATTTTCTTACTCTTTGGGTATAATACGACTAAGTTTTGAATGTTCCTCAAAGAAAGTAGGGACAAATCCGATCCATTTGTTTTCTGGTACGGATAAAAGCGAACTTAATAACATTTAGGAAAAATGTGTATACTCAACTAAAATCACCTAATACTTAAATATAATGAATAGATATTGCAAAGATAACCAGAGCTAATAAATGCAAACGTTTGTTTTTGGTTTAATTGTATTCCGAAATTTTAATTTTATTACATACTGGTATAACTTTTAATATTTCATAGATTTTTTTAACAGTACGCATGAATTCAATGTAATACAGTGAAAGGGGTAATCATGATCCAGTTGATATGACCTTTTTTCTTCCAGAATTTTAATGGAAAATAATGACGCAATTTTTTTGAAATCTCTTATACGACTAACTTTTGAATGTTCTTCAAAGAAAGTAGGGACAAATCCGATCCATTTGTTTTCTAGTACGGATAAAAGCGAACTTTATAACATTTAGGCACTTACGGCCTTTGAGCAGGGAGGGATCTTTATCTTGCCACACCTGCTGTGACACGGGGCCTCGGTTTATACGGTCTCATCCGAAGGACCGCCCCATTTAGTCGCCTTTTACGACAAGCAAGGGGGTACTGAGGACCTATTCTAACCCGGATCCCCACGGGGGAAAAAGAAAAATTAATTAAAATCATTGTTTAAAGTTGGAAAATGGTTTGGCGTCGGTTCTAAAGACTATAGAGGAGTTAAGAAAAAGATGGTTGACTACTGGTTGGCGTCTTCAGAAGAATAAAGGACAACTGGAAATCTTTTTGGTGTTTGGAAATCTACAGTTCATCAAGTTTGCGAGTTCATTATGAAGTATCTGCTTGAATATTACATGTATTTTCCAGGAGAATGAAATGGGCAATCGATTTTAAAAAATTCAAACAAAAGAAATATGTGAATAGGAAATAAACACGAATCCCCTAGAAATTCATGGTGGGATCGGGTGCCAAGGAGAATACTTAAAATGCTTTTTTTCAACAGTGTTGTTGAAATTCCTGTAACATCAATTTATATGTCAGTAGCTTGTCTTGGTTTAAATATAAAGAAAGATATAAGACAGTTAATCTGTAATGGGACCCGGGCGATTGATGCTATGCCTATTCCTATTGCAGCTGCGGAGCATTCCCATGAAGACTACTTGAATTGTAACGGGACTACTTATTGATCCTGCAGGGCAGTTTTTGCGCGAGCACAGCTATATTTTTATAATTCAGAGGCATAAACATAGGTCTGCCATAAAGGGTGCAAGATGCGCACGTTTTTGCAAATTCAAATCTTTATCTAATAGGACACTGGAGATATAGTGTAGATCCTTGTTTTCAGAGTTGAAAATGCTATTTGTGGAAAGAACTATGCTAGAACAACCCGGCGTATCCTTTAAAGACTTTAAAGCACTACCCTAATCAAAACTCAAATTTCTTTCAGCTGTCCTTGAAGTACAGCAAAAATGACCATAAAAATCCAAGTTTTCCTTTTGCTTTCTAGCCGTCATGTTACCAAACTGATGTTATACACTTTACAATGCATAAACAACCGAAACAACACTTAAACTGGAGATTTATGCGATAAACAAAACAAAATACATACGTAAATCTGCTGCGTGTTCATACGACAAAATTTACACACAAGAACTGATAATTTGCTACAACATGTTTGCAAAAGTTAATTTGCACCTAGTCCTGACCAGGTGTAAATTTACTCAACTTTGCAGAATTTACATGACATTGTGAGTAAGTTAGTTCATACGACAAAAATTTCAGATGTGAGTAAATTTACATATGAGTAAAAAACACTGGGGTATGCAAATCATGTCATATAAATGGGGTATAAGATACATGAAATAATGCATTGGTATTTGATTTCGATGAACAGTGTTGCCATGGTTACTAAAAATAGAATTTTGCATTGGTTTTTTATTTCGATGAACAGTGTTGCCATGGTTACTAAAAATAGAATTTCTGTGAAATCCTTTAAAACGCTACTCCTTCTATAGTTTTGGTCTGATTTCAATATTACTTGGCACACAAGTAGACTACACTAAGATACATGAAATAATGCATCTGTTTTTGATTTCGATGAACAGTGTTGCCATTGTTACTAAAAATAGAAATGTCTGTGAAATTCCTTCTAAAACTCTACCCCTTCAACAGTTTTGGTCTGATGGCAATGGCTATTTTTCTCATCCTTTGTTATAAGTACAAACCAGTAGAGCTACAGTCTTGACAGAGACTTCTGATTATCTAATGTTTTGATTGTGCCCAAAATATTTCTTCTTTGTTAGAAAATGAAAAAGATCCTTGAGTCAAAGTTCTAGTGGATTGTAAGAATGGCGTTTTGAAAGAAGTTTACAGAAAATTCTATCTTAGTGAACTTGCAACGCCGCTGGTCAAAATCGAAAACCTATACACCGAAATATGTATTTTCTTATCCATGAAGTGTAATTGTGTACCAGCACCTTTGTATTAAACAATGGGTTTGGATATAAAGTCAAAATGGTATGAGGAATAAAGTTTGGAAAAATGGATTACGGACATACACATGGACGGACACACAGACAGACGGATGACGTTACCTTACTACAACATAAGTGCTTCTGGCCAATGACCAGTAAAGCTAGAAAAAAAGTTGAAAGATAAACAACAATCTTGACATGCTTATGCTAATCTGTTAACAATTATTCCCTGAAATAAATTTCATTTAGTGAACAATAATAATGTCGGAAAAATAATTATCAGTTTATTAGTAATTGTAATAAAATTTATAATGTAAAGGTATCATATTTTTCTTTTTCTTCTTCATGTTCTTTATACCCGCACTTTCTAAAGAAAGTTCAGGTATATTTTTGTTACTCATGTCCGTCCGTCTGTCACACTTTGGGGTAAAAAAATGACGTTTTTTATGCAAAAAGCCCTGTCTTCCATGAACTCTTCTTACATTTTACACAGTAGTCTAATCATCTTTGGGAGATGGTTGGTGGGGTCATGTAGATGTGCAGTAAGGTTTCGGAATGTTGAATTTGCTCTAGGGGATCAAATGGGGGTCGAAAATGACGTTTTTTTATGCAAAAAGCCCCGTCTTCCCTGAACTCTTCTTACATTTTACACAGTAGCCTAATCATCTTTTTGGAGATGTTTGATGGTGTCATGTAGATGTGCAGTAAGGTTTTGGAATGTTGATTTTGCCCCAGGGGGTCGAATGAGAGTCGAAAAATGACGTTTTTTATGCAAGAAGCCCTGTCTTCCCTGAACTCCTCTTACATTTGACTCAGTAGCCTAATTATCTTTTAAGAGATAGTTGGTGTTGTCATATAGATATGCAGTAAGGTTTCGGAATTTTCATTTTGCCCGGGGGGTCAAATGGGGGTAGATTTTTTTTTTTTGAAATATTTGATATTTTTAATCACCCTGCATTCTAGAACTTCCCTGATATTTATGTTCCCCAAACGAAGTTGGGGAACATATTGTTTTTACTCTTTTTCTTATTATTATTATTATTAAGGTCTTCCGTCTTCACGGAAGACCTTATAGTTATTGTACTGTTTCTTATTATTATTATTAAGGTCTTCCGTCTTCACGGAAGACCTTATAGTGATTCTACTGTTTCTTCTTCTTATTATTATTCTTATTATTTTTTTGACTTTCTAATTTTGTGCACGCGATTTCTCGAAGACTACTGGGTGGAATTATATGAATTTTTCAGAAAAAATGTGTCGTAACATGAACTTGATCTATCTGAGCGATTTTTTGAAAATTCCATTCTGGTGCCAAGTTATGGACCATTTTCTGAAATTAAAATGACATTTTGTCCACGGTTAAACTTAAGAACGGTAAAAGATATCAATGTGAAACTTTCAGGGATTAAAGATCATGATAGATACTATCCAGGACGCAACCTTTTGTTCGTCGTCATTACTTCCTGTCGTTAGGAGAAGCGAATTGAAAAAATTGTATTTTCTAACTTTTTTGTTTTCCAATATTTTTTATTTATTTTTGGAATGGTAATAGAGACCT